AATAAAAAAAAAAATATTAAAATATAGTTTTTGTGCCTATCAACAAACACAGAGAGGTAATAAACTAGAAACCTTTCCATACAAACATAAGTGTTTGTGCGATTAGGAGTGCTCATTTTTATTTTGGGATACTTCACATTCATGTTTTGGATTACAATGAAACTAAAAATATGCCTGTCTTCAAAATTTCATTGAAATGCTATTTTAAATTTTTCAATTATATAAGTCAAAAATAATAAAAAAAAAAAGCTGATTCAAATACTTAATACCAAAATAAAATTATTAGTTAGAAATAAAACAGAAGTTAGATGTTTTATAGACATTTTATTCTGAAACCCAGCTCTCTAGCTACCATTTTTCACTGTCATCATTTACATGTAGCAAGGATATAGCTCTGCAATTTTTCACTGCTTAGAGATGTTCTGCTATTGAGGGCAGTACCCTGGGTACCAGAGGCCCTCTTGTCCTCACTGAACTCAAGCACAAGTTGTGAATCTTCAGCAGCCAAAGGAAAAGCACCTATCATTACATTTTGAACTATGAACATAGTATATATTTCATACTGAAAGGATAATGTTGAAAGACCATTAGTACAATTGCTGAGAGGCAAAATTCATTAGTCTGGACTAGATGCTATCTGATGTGATATATGATCTTGAGCTGTTTGGCGAGGCACACCCAGAATTCATAATTCACTTTTTCTTTAAACAAATTAGACACCATAACCATGACCAGAAGATTACTAATATTGCACAAACTTGTGAGAGCTAGGGAGGCTTAGCTTTATAACAGTCAACTAAAGCCCAACTTTCTGTATCCATGCACCATGATATAGTTTAATTAATCATACGTCTCTGCTTTTCCTATGGTATTTTTGTTTCTGTTTGTTTACTGATTTAGTGAAAGAATACGCAACAGTCAAGTTTAAATTTAGTTCTAATTTTCAGCAACTTTACTCAACAACTGAATTATCATTCTTGTGACATTAAGACAAAGTGCTCAAACACTACTTTAGCATAGTGGAAAAATCTTCTGCAAGTATATAAGGAACAACAAATTAAATTTTTTTTATAGTTTCTATTTTATCAAGATTTTAGTGCAATATAGGATGTGATATGGTCTTATTAAGAAACATGGCATATACTGTAAACAAAATATTTGCACATGCCATATACAAGACACAATTCTAAAGCCCAAAGACAGAAGAAAAGTCCCATTTTTACAGAATGCATTTCTAGTTTTAATCAAAATTCCTACTTGGACACCATTTTCCAAGGACATGTTCTTCAAACAGCACACATACACACATCCATCCAAGTACTCGTACTCACCCAAGGAAGTTTGCTTATGTCCCCCAATAAAAAGCATTAAAAAATATTTTAAGTTTCATGTTCTCTTTTTCACATAGACTCCATTTTACATGTTTTGTGGGATAATTTCAGGTATTTAGAAGATGTTAAATGGATGTTGCTTCAAATCTGACAGGAATATTAGCAATTTTATTAGTTGGTATCATGTCAAACCGCTGCACTAAAAAAGACATGGTCATGTAGTACCATCAACACAAAAGGCAGAAGCATCACTCAGAGTTTACAGAAATAAAAAAGACTGAAGTCAGCTTCAAAAGGGAAAGAATTTTTAGTGCATCTGAATAAAGCTGTGAAGTGTGAGCTTGGATTTTAGCATCATGCTGTTGTTGCTTACACCAGAAAAAATGTGTTTAGCTTAATGTTTGCAGAGCAGGACAATAAGGCTAATTAAATACCTCTTATTGAAGCTGAATTTGAAAAGCAAAAATGTTCACTATTAAAGAAGGGAACCTGAGTAGAAAATAAGCTCACAGATAGAGACAAAGAGAACAAAGGTCAGCATTTGCCAATTGCTACTCTGAGGTTACAACAGCTACTGTTTCTAACCTTTTTCTAATCCAAATGAAATCTGTGGAAGCCTCAAATGCCATTGTGAGGTAACTGCTGTCAAAAGTTACAGATTATATTTCTACCACTGTTGTACTTATTAATTGCATTTCAATATGAATTTTTATTAATATTTTTTATTTTTTGACTTATTCCAATGAAGTACAAGCTAATGCATAGATTAATGGATGAATGCAACACATTAGAACATGCTATATCTATTTACCTAATATCAAGAAGTTTAAGAACAGGCACTAAATAAATTATTCATCTCTTGAATAATTTTTTAGTCACTAAACCAGGTCACTGAAAAGGCAGAATGCTTCCCAGGTGATGTAAGTTAGACTAGAATATGAAAGATGTTTAAGGAATAGTAATGGAGGCCAATGCATTTTAACAATTATTTAAAGAATTGCTATTCCAAACACATCCCTTAAGTTTGGATCTGATTATCCTGATTGTCACGTTTTTATGTGCTGATATTTGATTACTACTCACCCTTCAACACTTTTATCTTCCAGAATCAAAGAAGACAGCTCATCCAGAACAAGCAGGAACTAAAGCATAAAATACTGCTCTTAGCTTAAGTTTATTGCCCTAAACTTTTGTTACATAGTTTTGTTAATAGATACTAGCTCAGATGTGGCAAAACAAATGCTGAGGTCACTTGACTCTGATTTTAACTATGAGCATTGTTCTGGTTTTAATGATAAGCATATCAAGTATGGAAGTCTTAGCTGTTCTTCAAGTCTCTTCTGAGATGATTTCATCATCACAAAAATAATAATCGTGAAGAATAAAATTATGTTACAAAGTTCAACTTATGAAGTTGTGTGTCTAATTTCACATTATCTCTACTATTGTTACAATACAACATAGCAGTAACCCTCACCTTAAAAATTACTGAAATCTCATAAATATTGCTGATGTAAAGCTCACATATATTACAGCAGTCCATAGGGATACACAGCACAATATGTAACAATACACCTTCAATACACAGCAGTACAGAGATAAACAACACTGACAAGTAAATATGCTGACATGACAAGTATGTTGACTAGCATCCATTGCAAATTATGCTCAAAGAGAAGACTGTGTCTTGCAAACTGCTGGGAACCATCAGCACGTTCAATGCTTATGCAATGATTAGTGTATGATGGCAGTATGATGACCAGTGTAACCACCTGCCTTTATTTACAGGATGATTACACTAAGATAGTTCCTCCCAATGACTTACTACTTCTGCTATATTCCTTACAGTAAATCTGGTTCATTCATATAATATACTTGGCATAATAATAATAATAATAATAATAATAATAATAATAATAATAATAATATACTTGGCATTTTTTTCCTTCCCTTTTCCTGCTTGGTCTACTGGACTTCATCTTACTAGACTCCAAAACACAGTGGATATAGAGACTATTAGGTTCACTAATTTCAGAGAAAGAGGCATGCTACACCTAGAACCAAAAAATAAATTATAGAAAAACTCTAGATGGACAAACAAAGAATATAAATGGATTGTTTTGATTTTTCCCTTAAAAGCATAAATTCGTGAGGATCCTTCATCATAATTCTTCTACTATAAAGACCTTGGGTTCTTGGATTTCCTCTTTTTCAGTGCTCTTTCATTATTCCTGCCCTCTTTCTTCATCCTGTTGTCTATCCTTTCTCATCTGTTGTTGTCTGTCTCCATATCTTTAATTACATGTGATCTTCCCTTGAAAAATTACTTTCTTGTCTTATAGAAATTTCTTTTTTCCTCAGTCTCTCTCTTCCCATAAAGGTGATGAGAAATCCTTGAGGAAGAACTGAAATTAATGGTACACCCTGACCCAATATATGCAGACAGCAGAAAAAGAATATTAATAGAATTCTAAAACATATTCAGAAAGCAGAGAGCCTGAGTTAAGGCTCTGGTGTGACGAAAGGGAAGGATAAAAAGCCTCATCACAACACAATCTCTACTAGGTTCTTTAAATTCAGGACGGAAATCTGGAAAGATATCCACTCTATCCTGGGCAGGACACTGGCCCTTTGAAAAAACAAAAGAAAAAATTTTTTCTCTTAACTGTACAAGCAAACATCTACATCATGCTAAAAATTTATTCAACACTATAATACACTGCTATAGACTCCAAGCACTAATTTAAATTTCACCACATGTAAACATATGTTTATTAATCAGTGGCTATTCCTAGAAATTATATATTCTTCATCATTTATGCTGCGGACTCAAAACTGCACTGGTGAGGTTGCTGTTTGACAACACTAAATAAGCACTTAGTAAGGTTAAACTCATTGTCATCCAAAATAAAGACCAGATATATAAGTCAATTCAAGAATCTGAATTATGGAGATTATAGACGGTGCACTAGAGACCAAGCACAAACTGATTACAGCCAGATTGTTAACCCATGCGACTACCTATGCGTTAGACTGACTTGCAGTGATCCTAAGAAACTTTTCTTGCTGGAAAAACATGACTTCAGGGGTTGAACGCTCACTGCTAGAATCTGTGAAAGAAAAGTTATTATAGGATTTATTCCTAATGTCCTAATGGAAAGATATGTGGGTTTGGTTTTCTAGTAGTAGTACAAACAACTGCCTTTAAAAATGCCCAGCTTTTCTCAGTTTCTTGTGGTAATATTATGCAAAGTCTTGAAAATTCTTCAAGTCAAAAAGGTGTAACATGACGCAAGAATCTCTCAGGATAAATTGTGACATTTATTCTGCAGCACTTTTCCTCCATGTATTTTTCATGCAAATACTTAAGAACTGGCTGTGCCTCAGTTTTGCGTTATGAAGATGTACCATGTCACTTATTGTAGTCTACAAAAAAAGTTTATAAATGTAGAAAACACAACATCTTGTCTAATCCTATCTGTTGGAATGTATCAAATTAAAGAACACCTTTTCTTTCTGTTTAGGTGGGAAGATGGAACATTCTTTCATTCTCACAGACTAAATTAAAAATTAATAAATGGAGAAACAAAGGCAGAATTACAACTTCACTGTCTTTTCCTAAGTAATAGAGAATCTTTAGTTGTTAAGAAAGACAGAACTCAGACTCACTGTGCACTTGTTCGGCTTCTCTCCTGAGTGGACTCTCATGTGAATCAGCAGTTTGTAACGGGCATTAAATGGCTTGAACCTTCGAGGGCAGCCTGCCCAGAAGCAGGTGAAGTCCTCTCCCTTCCTCTGGTCTATGTGGATCTTCTCTATGTGCCGCACAAGCTCCTCTTGGTGGTCATACAGCTTCCCGCAGTCAACCCAGAAACAGCCATGCTTGCCATTTAAATCATCCAGCTCTCCATCTTCCTCCAGCAGGGCAGCCGGGGCAGGAGGCAGTACCTGCAGCGGGGGGATGTGGCTGGGGAGGCCGTGGGGGTGCCGGTGCTGGTGAGCATGGTATGGCGGGGGTGGCCCTTGCGGAGGAGGTGGTGGCAGCACCAGGGGTGAAAGAGGCATGTCAACAACAGGGCCTGAGAAGTCATCCAGCTGTTCATTTTTTAGAATGTCCATCGCCTGGCTGTCCATGGGCAGCACACCCTGCTGGATCACCATATTATTTGTGGCAACCATCTGCAAGCTGGCTTGCTCCAGCTGCTGCATCCGCTGGTACTCACCTGTTCCGTTCTCAGCATACCCTGGAATAGTGACATTGCCATTCGCCATGAGGAAGGCTTTCTGGGCAGTTGAAACAGAGCAGTGTTGGGGTATACAGCTTCCCCTCACTCCCAGAAAATGTCCATAGACCTCAGGCTGTGGGGAGACGTTTGCTGGCGATGCCCTGGAGCTGTTGATGTAGGCCACCAGAGAAGTTGGGGATGTACGAATGATGGTATTGAACTCGATCCCAATGCCGTCAGACAGAGGAGATGCAGAGAGTGCTCTCTTTTTGGAGCGGGCTGATTGACACCAGACTGAGGACTGGCAAGGACTAGAGTAAGGGGAATTCTTGTTTTCCATGCCATATAAGTAGGATGGCAATGAGTTACTGGATATAGATGCTTCAGGCAAACAATTTATTAGATCCCCCAGCTCACTGCCATTTTGTAAACCATGGTCAGGGAGAACAGAAGAAAATGTCCTGTACCTACGTGACCACTCTTGTTCAATAGTCAGAGGAGAGTGACCTTCTGACAAGCTTAACGTTGTAGAGGCTAGAGTCTCACATGACAAGAGTGACCTGAAATAAAAGTATGATAAAGTAAGCATTTAGATATGGAAGTATATCTTTTACCTTCACACACACTTAAAATTAAGGAAAGGCTACATGCAAGAAAAGCTCTCCCTAATATCAGGTGCTCAATTTTAGCACACTCAGTTAATGTACCAGTAGTTATACAAAGGTAATATACGTGTAAAAAGGTCACTTAAGAAACCAACTTAAATGCTTCAAAATTTTGGAAGAAAAAGTTACTGTAAAGATTCTTGATCCACCACTGCAGAATTGCAGATTGCACATCTTTTCATCAATTGTGGTGTAAATAAGTTTGAACTTCTGAAGCCAGAGCATTATGTTCCTGCCTTCTATGAAACCCATAATGATTTTAGTCATCTATAATTTTTGTTTGAAAAAAACAGGAAGAAAACTGATCTAAAGAGAATGAATATTCAATCAACCTGAATGACTTTGTCAATTGTAATACATACAAATACTACAAATACTTTCCTACAGAAGTTTTATATTTCAACTTTATAAATACAGATAATATCTAACTTTACAAAACAAACAAAATAAATGAGTAATGTAGGAGAACTGGTTGAAGAGGTTTTTTAGATTTGATTTGAAGATGTATTTGCTTCCAAGTCAGCAATCCAAATTTTTAATGAAAGCTTAATCTTCCTGTTATAGAGCATTTTTCACAGAGATATTATGAAACTTCTTTATGCTGCAAATATTCTTTGGATAGCTTAAAAACCCTCCATATATAGGCCCTTAGAAGTATTGTTTTGTACAAAGGAGATAAAAAGGAAATAAAGGGGGTATCGAGGGCCCTGAGCCATGGCTGTAAATGTTGGCTGAAGGTCAGCTGAATTTATTTCTTTGTTTCCTGTTCACACCCAGGTTTCCCTACCAGGCAGTGGTGCAACCAGTATATAAATATCGATTTTTAAGGAGCTTTTAGAATAGGAAGAACTGGTTAAGTATCTAGGTAAAACTGACAATCTCAGAGTAGCCTCTGCATCTTCTGTTTTGTGAATTAATTCTTGGGTTTGTTATTTTAATGATACAGTTTTGAAGAAGCACTAAATTTCAATGACAGATCAAGGACACTGGAGGGGAAGCTTGGTACAGCCTGAGAGAGAGAGGAAGTAGTTTGCAGGTGCTGTATCTGTAAGATAGCTTGCCAACAGGGAAAATGTAACTTAAAAGAACAGCAATCCTTGCTGTGGTGACCAGTGGGAGAGACAGTTCAACGCCCCTTTGCTTTGTAAAGCACGGCTGTTCTGCTGTATCAGAACAAGAAATCCTGTTCTGATTCAGTGTCAGGGCAGGGTACTGTCATGGACCCTACGTGACTCCATCAGGGTTTAAACGGCACTTGCAAAACAAACTACAGACCAAAACCACAATTAGCATGCTGACTACACTTTGTGCTGGGAGAAATCAGAAAAATGAGACTGCTCTATCAGGTCAGTCTTGTGTGCCATTTCAATTAAAGGGATGACTTTTTGTGAAAAAGTTGATTAAGGCTGTTGCCAATGGGCTTTGTTAAAGCACAGTTCATAATGCTAGTATGTTGTGACTCCAAATACAGATGCACAGTTTTCAACACAGCAAGACAAGTAAGTAAGGTTTGATTTCTCCATACAATGATTCATACCTAGAAAATATAAGGAGAGGGTAAGGGTGTGTTTTTATATTCTCTTTTATAAATAAAGAAAAATATATCATTCATCAATAAAAAGTCTATTTTTGTACTGACAAGAATTTTAAGCAGATGCATAGTACGACCAGTATCATACAAAAGGTTACTAATGCCTAACACAAAGGGGGATATCCATCAGTGAATCTGAAGAAAAATTGTTCTTTAAAAGTCTCATAATAAGACAAAAATAAAAAGCTGGCCCAGTATATAATAAGAAAGAGCCAGCTATTCTGAATAAGCTGCAGCACTTCAGCATCTAAATTAAAAAAATAATAAAAATTCCAGTTCCCCAAAAAATAAAGATTTATTTAAAATTCAGCCCACACTGTGACTAAGTAGTTTTCTAATAGGAAGAAAAGAAATACAACTAATATGAAAACGAGGGACCAGATCTATCAGGATGCCAGAATCTCAGATAGTATTCATTGGTTTACATCTGCTTATTGTAAACTAAACTGGCTTGAGTTTGGACCAAGATCTTTCATTAACATTTACAGGAGATTACTTGCAATTACATTGTATTCTCCATTTGTGTACAGAGGCCACAATGTCAGACTACAATCCAGCATCCTGAACATAAACATGGAAGAGTGAAAACTATGTTTTTCTCTCTTTTCACAGTCTTCTATCTACTAGCCAAAAACCCTTTGCTCTTTCCTAGATCTTTTTCTGACTTGCATCAAAGCAAATTGCAGTATTACATCTGGCTTGATGCAACACAACAAAATACTCCAAAACAGTTTTGCAGAAACTCAAGAAAGATGAGGAAGGTTTTACCCCCCATGGTCTATATAGCAGAATCTGATTCTATGTGTAGCAAAACTCTCATTTTGCCAACTGGTTTCTTTCTTCCAACAGTAAAAATCAAGAAAATTCACTTCAGCTTTGGTAAATTCAACAAATTGTCTGGTTTGGGTTGAGCTGCCAAAACACAAGTTAATAGTGCCTGAGAGATAAAATCCAGAGAAGGCACTCTGCCCAGGATGAACCAGTCAACTTCACTTAGGCAAAAGCAGTTTATAGTTCAAGAAATGTAATTTAAAAACCCAAAAAAGCTCAAAACTGAACAACAAATAACTAGCCTCCTCAAAAAACACAAACAAACAAAGAAAAAACTCTGGACTGTTTTGACAATCTGTGAGATAGAATCTGACTTAAAACTTGTTTTGCCTATCAAACAGACAAATTAAGGTAAAGATTGCTGAAGTGGATATTCTTTGTATGATAAACTTATTTTATAACACCTTCATTGATAAATCATTAAAAAGTACTCTAGGGACACCACAGCCTTGAGTCTGAAACTCAAGTTTCAACTTGAGTTTGCCCTTAGTAAATGCTTCTTTGAAATAAAATCAAAGCTGTGTAATTCAGTATTGACACGATATATCCAACCACAAACCCAGTGTTTAGAACCATACAGGCATGCCTAAAACCTAAGTAAGTAGCAATTATGTAATTATATCTTTCTAGTATCAGTTTTATTTGATCTGAAAGGCATGCATTCGGATTTGTCAGTTGTCATCATCTTAGCACTGAATGGTTTTTGCTGACACATCTACATAGGAAGCATAATTAATTTTGTAAATTTTCCCAGAGGGCTCAGTCTTCACAACTAAAGAGACATAAGTGTTAAAAATTACCTTAAGACTAAAGCAAGGTTTTATTCCATTTGTGTAGTACCAATTTTAATTATTTCAGGAACGTCCTTTGACTTGTAATAAAGCAACATTGTAAATGTAAACTGCTTTGAGAATAAAGACTATTACAGTCTTTTGAAAATAAGAAACTACATTTCAACTCAGTAGGCATTGTAGAATGTAGATTCCAAAACAACACAGTAGAATATTTTCTCACTGTATGATCAATATCCAGGGGTGTTACAGGGTAGATCTCAAATATCTGTTTTCCTCTAATTCATGTTTGCTGGCAAAATTCAAAATCATAATTTCAAAACTTACTTAAGCATTTAAAATTAATTAATAAATATTTATCTGTGGGGTAGTAATATAAAAAGGCAACATTTACAGCAAGTGGTCATAGTTTTTTTACTATGCAACAGAACTAGGGAAACTTACAGGTTTTCAAGGACAATTGATCTGATTAATCATCAGATGGTAAACAAACAATCTGAAAGCAAACATATTTGATGAGAGAGGAACATGTGCAGAGCATGAATGGTTCTTTTGTCTGTCCTTGGTGTTATTTGAGAGGCACCAACATGGCACACTTAGCACTATGTAGATGTAACATGTGGACTATTTCTGCTTTCATCCTCCATAACACTTCTTCAACCTAGCACAAAAATCCAGTTAGTGACTACAAAACAACCTTTATCTAATAAAAAAGTTCTATCATACAAAGATTTTGTGTGGCCAAATTTCGCCCATTGTTGGAATGATCCAAACAGTATTATTATAGTTGATTTGAATTAAATTGCATGGAATTCAATTTCCCATTGCATAACAGAGAATGATTTTCTGATTTTAATAATCAGAAATTTCACATTTTTATTATGGAAGAATTAAACCCCCTCCTTTTAAAGTACTGAATAAAAAAAGGTAATTGAGGACCTTGTATCTGATGAAGAAGCACTCAGGCTGGAAGCATCCATAGACCTTTGTAAGCTAGGGCTAATCTGGCTGCATGCTGTTGAAAGCTGATTCACTGAAGGTGAAAGAGGTCCCAGATGTTGAACTGTCATGGGATTGCTGGTGACTATTGCATTGTTGCCACAGCTTTTTCCAATGGACTTGCCCTTGTGTCCATAATCAAGACCTCCTAAAATAAATAAAGCAGATTAGTATTTATCTCTCATGAACCCATGATGAGGCACAGAACTCACATTGTTGCATCCCATGATGTCATCTAACTCCCACATTTTTATCACATCACTTTGCAAACTCCAGAAAGTAATGGGAATCTTCAGATGAGGACAAAACACAGGATCAACACAAGAATTTTGGAAACTTCTCGAAACATAAATAGCAATATTCTACAGGGGAATTAATAGATTATGCATGCGTAAAACATGTGCTGAAGTACACAAACTTAAGACCAGACATGACAGAAAAACATCAGAAAAAGCCCTCAGATGAGGGACAGCTTTCTATGAGGGCAGGAAGAGAGAACCCAAGGAGGCTGCCAGAACAGCACCGTGCCCTGAGTCCTACCAAACCCTGCAGCTGCAATTCTTGCAAGCCCTTCCATCATTCCTGCCACTAATGAAGCATAAAGCAAGGAGACCACCGATACGCATGCAGACTGCATTTCTTGCAAGCCCTTCCATCATTCCTGCCACTAATGAAGCATAAAGCAAGGAGACCACCGATATGCATGCAGACTGCAGTGCTGGCTGAGTAGTTTCACCAGCAGGAGAGAGTTATAGCTGGAACCCAGCATTCCTTGGAGGTCTAAGTAGAGGAAATTAAGCTGAATCAAATTGAGAAGCATTCTGTTTTTTCTTTAAAGGCCACAGTCTGCTCTTAATCACTGCTGCCATGACTCAACTGATAGCTATTACACAGTATCACAAAAGATAGCTGGCAACTGGGACATACCTTCAAAATGCCCAGTGTTCTTTTCTCTGTGATTTAGATCACAGATGGTAGTTTACAAGATTGCCTCCATTAAACCACATTGAGATTAGAAAGTTAAAATGTAGGTCATAATATGGAAGTTGTTGACGTCTAGCGAATTCTCATCACAGCTGAAAATTAATAACTAGAGAATTCACATTTCTAGCTGTTTCTCTGTTCAGAATACTCCACATAGCAGGATAGCAACATCAGGACAAACAGTGAAAAGTATTTCTATGTAACCCATTTTCCTAAATTAAATCTACTTTTGATATGGGCATGCAACTCATACAACTTCTTCTCCAGGTTCTTCAGATTTGTTACGGACTGCAGAGAGAAGTACATTAAGGCGTTCATGGCTCTCCCAGTCAAAGGAAGAAAATCCAAATCATTCAATTCCCTCCAGATCAAATAGTTCCAAGGACAAACATGTAAAGAGAATTCCTGATTCTGCACTCAACTCCAATGCGGACACCACAACAAAGCATCTAATCTCTTGCAGGATTACTGTCTGTTCCCACTACAGATGTTCAATTAAATCAAAAGAAATAGAGAAGGTATTTTAATTTATTTCCTGTGAGGCAGGAAAGTACATATTTTGAACTCAATAAAGTTGAATCAATGTGCTTCTCAGCAGTTGATTTTATAATGTTACAGAGAATTAAATTGGAACCTTTAGCAAATATAGGGAAAAAATGTAAGTTGCCTCTGATAATAACATGAATGCTACTCCTCTTGGCAAAAAGCTGGATGGGGTAAAATAAATTTACAAGCTCCATTCACACTATAAAAAAATACATAATACAACATAATATGCTACTTATGTGTGTATCATAAATGTTCAGTGAGCTATTTTTTAGAAAAGTGCTTTTAGTATGTAGAACCAAAGATATTCTGCACCAAATTATATAAAAGAGAAATTACTATAATGTAGGAAACCCAGCTGGGTTTGACAATGAAATACAGTTGTAATGCTTGGAGAGTGCATATACACATATATATTTGTGTGTGTGTTTGTGTGTGTGTGTGTGTGTGTGTGTGTGTGTGTGTATAGATATAGATATAGATATACAGATATATAGATACATAGATAGATAGATATAGATATATAGATATATAGATCTCTATATATACTACTATTATTCCCTACTATTTAGCATTGAGAAAATGTACCAAATATATACTGATCCTTTCCTGGATGATGCCATTAACACCCTTCACTTAAAGGTCACTTTAAATAAATTTCAGTAGTAACAATAATATCTGCTTCATCATATCAGGAAAACAAGGAGTGTGCATTTGTCAGATTTTCATACATCATCTCAAATAATATGCAACAATACAATGAAATTACTATTTACTCATTACTAAATCTGAGCTGCTTGAAGCTTAAATGTTAGAAAAAATAATCCCAGCAGAAAAACAGAAAAGGAAGTAGTGCCAGATCAGTGCTGCTAAATACAGAAAATTGCGTCCTCAATGCATCCTGGTTTCCCTTTCAATAACAGGGTCTGCTAATATTATCTGTGTATAAACAGTACCTCAGGAATGCCAAAAGAAAGTAAGAAAATTTGCTATGTTATGGTAAGGATGATGAGAAAAAAACTACCTGGTTGCTAGCCATTGAAAGGAAAACATGAGAAATTAAGTACTTTGGAGACACTATATTACTGGAATGATAAACAGAAGTTACGCAAGACTCTAGTCCTCATGAACATTTCTCTGGACAGAAGCAAAAGGTTTTCTTCTTTTTACCATTGACAAACATTTGCTCTTATGACAAAAAATTACAATTCTTCCACTGAAAAGAAGGCAGGGCAGATTATTGTGGAAAAATAAATCATCAGCTCCCACCAGCGAAAGAGACTGAAAAGTAAAAGGTTGCTGCTGTGAAAAGCAGTCATAACATTTCATCAGCTGCTTCATATAGGCATAAATGCGTCAAAAGACCATCATTACTACTTTGTTCATGCCCTGCAGGTCACTGAACAATATCAATTTGATCTGAATCAAGTAGCAGCATACAATCCCATCTATGTTGAACCAAGTCTGAGCACAAGATTGGAAACTTATGCTGACTTCAATCCCTCTACAAAAGTACAGATCACATCTGATCTAGCATAAAGTTAAACAGGTGCAACCTGGACCTAGCCTGTCAAGAGCCTGCTGCTGAAAGGCAAGTTGTCAGAATGTGTTCAAAAGCTCTGGATAAATGTCAGAACATCTATGTCCAGCAACAACATTCGGCATCACACACCCAGAATGCCAGAGGAGCCCTCAGACCAGGTTTCCTGCATCATTGTCCTGAAGCCTGGAAATGTCAGGACAGTAAAACAACAACCAGAAATTGCTCAATGCCTTGAATCCACATCAGCTGAGATAAACAGGAAATTCTCAGAAGGATACGAGTAGATTTAAATGACACTGTAGAAAAGAAAAATATGTTAGCCAATGTTTTAAATAAGCAAAAGAAGAATTTATTTTATTTTATACTAGGATATAGATCAGGAAACAGTCCAATAAAGCCAACAACTAAGGAGGTGGAATCAGTCCTGCAGTTGCTCATTGTAAGAGTTACAGCTGACCAGAGCAGGTACTTATTCTAAATAAACATAATAACATATAAATCAAAACTGCTCCTAATCAACATGTAACAGTAACAGTTAACAAACAGAAACAGTAAAAGAAATTCTGTAAATATTTTAATCCATTCACTTCCTCAGTCATTAGGCTTCCTATTTTCCCTGTTTATTCTCTGTAGCTGGTTAACAGCTAAGCTTCACTCAACCTTGAAATGCAAAATTATTTCACTGCAATATTCTGAAGAACGTTCAAAGAATGCAGAAAAATATAACTACTGTAGATACACAGAATTTTAGATGAGATTTTCTTAATTTATGTAATTCTCCTACTTTTTGGAGGAAGAGTCCAATATGAAATTAGTTTCATTTAAAAAACATCTTATTTTATCAGATATTGACTGAAAATCAACCAAATTCTTTGTCTACTTCTTCATGTTAAGAGCAATAATTTGTTCATTCTCAGGTTAAAAAATGAAACTACTTTATCAAACCCTTGAAATTGAAAATTATGCTTTCCATATATAAATCATTATTAACAAAAATATACAAAAGAAAAGCCAGTTTTAATTGTCAAGTGTTCTGAAACACACTACATCCATATCAAATACGTAACACCAGATCAAATTCAAATATCTCTTTGATTAATAAATTCTGTAATTACTGAACTAATCACTATGAAACAAAGCTATTAAAGTGATCTGAAAACCTGTGTCTTGTTACTTACTGTTGGAACAGCTAGAAACAAAAGAATTACAACAAGAGAGCAAAAGGTAATTTCCCTAGGGGGTTTCCTGTGTACACATACACAGAAAATGTACAGGTTAAGAGCTTTGGAAGTGGTTGGTTTTAATGTTTCCCATGTATTGGGCTTCCACACTTGTAGGTGTGGACTCTCTATTCACCAAAATGGGGAGAAAAGGGTATAAGCAAAAAAGAATGTTGTAAGATCACAAATACAGAAGAGGACAGAGACCAAAGGAATAAGGCAGATTGTGTGAATGTATTCTTAACATAGATTAAACTCACCAACTAACCAAGGCTGTTTGAAAACACATTTGGCCTTTTTTCACAACACATTTTATTCTCTGGATGTGGCAGCGCCCAGTTACTAAATGCATTTTTACTGTATGTCACCATATCTGCAGGGTTATTGACATCCTATTTGGAGGGGTGGGGGCTTCACAGTGGCTGGTAACTCAAAAAACTCAAATGTTTGCATAGAAGACATGGCTCCCAATGGTAATACCGTAGTCCCTCTCACCTAGAACCTGCTGCAGTTTTCAGGCTTCCCCTGTAGCAATTTCATTTATATTATTAATGACTGCTAGAGAGGTAGCACTTGTCCCTTTGCCCTTAAACGAAATGGTCACATTTCTATTGTTTCTACAACCACCTAAGAGAGCCTATTGCACAACAACTTTGTGGACAGACACTAGCTGCAGGGCAATGGATATCAGACTCCTTTGAACCTTCTTTAAGGGTGTTAAACTGAAGCTTCAAAGGGGAGCAAATTTATTTTAAAAAGGCTGACTAGGGGGAATATTGTAATTTGCCTCTATGACTATGTGAGCAAATAAAATCTTTGCCGATTTGGAAATCTGGGCTTCTTCAAACTGGCATC